TGACCTCCAATTGCATCAAATTGATCCTATATGATCTTCAATTCTCGTTTTGTGGTCCGAATAATCTATTGGATATTTATACTTTGGTCCCAAACTTTGAATTTCCTTCGTTTTCGCACGTTTTTCATTCATTTCTTCCAAATCCCACCAATTTGCATTGAGTTTAAATTAACAAACATAATTAACACAAAATTAAGTTATAACTCATCTAAATCACTAACAAATACTCTAATTTCATGGTCAAAATAAGTGCAAAAAATACACTTATCAACTATAAATACCTCTGCCATGTGACCATAGTGGGGGATGAAACCCTGAATACAAAAAGCGACTTATCTCTTCTTACACACATTGATTTACAGTCTTGGACTTTGATTTTATAGCAATTGATTATTATTGTACAATCGTATCCTGGATATTTCGTCGGAATCCGAACGGAAACGTCTCGTGTCGTTAAACTTCTCTCACGTCCAGTTTAGGATCAATCTCGACCGTTGATCTGTCGTTACGTGTCGGAATTAGCTTGCGTATGCACAAGTGGTCTGTCATCTGTTAACAACATATTTTGAGGTCAACAATACTCAAATATTAAACCAGTTCTCGAGTTCTCTTATGCTCAATAGCTCTTGAGATGACGTAAAATAATATCTATTGACTTAGAATGACATTGGTCATTTTATGCTCCCGTTTGATAATAATTATTTAAAAATTCATTTTCCACGTAATCGTTATTAATTAGAGGTTCACAAAATAAAATTTTCTACGTGTACATTCAAAGCTTTTCAATCAAGATGCTTGGTGTACAGTACTTGTACAACAACTGGCACAACTCTCTCACAACAATAGTGACCCACGATTGTGAGGGAGTCATTTACGAGGAAATACATGGGAATAACCTTTTCACTGTTGCATATTTCCAAAGTGACCTTTGACCAAGATATAGAATAAAAAAAAAAACAAAAGGTGAAAATATAGCTTTATGTGGAAAAAACCAAAAATATCCCCACTTTACAATTTCGGTTGTTAACAGTTTGTTCAGCCGGCCCAGATCCAGCTGTTAACAG